CCCCCTTGCTCTGCCCGCACCTCACCTACAGCTCCCAGACCACTGTGCTAAAATCATGGGCCAATGTATCAGTCTCCACCACATGCCAGGAGAGCTTGAGATCAGAAACCGTGTCTCCTCCATCCCTGCACACCCAGAGTCCGGTGCAGGGCCCAGCACTACTAAGAGCTCAGTATGGTTAGTTTCCTGACTGAACTGTGGGCCGGGCTAGAGCATGTGTCCCCATCAGAACTGGCTTCCAAAGCCTCCCTAGCAAAATTCACTGCAAGACCTCAAACTCTGCCGCTGCCTGGAGACTCTCCTTGGCTGGTCATATCCTAGAAGGAGGTCCCTCACTCCCAAAGTGTTTCTTTGCGTATTCAGCCATTCACTTCCTCAACAATACGCTTAGCCCCGCAGTGGAGCCTGAGGACACAGAAATGAAAAAGGCACGATCTTGCCCTCAGGTGGCTCACAGTCAGATGAGTGAGGCCAATGCCCACTCCCTTGCCTCCTTCCCTCCTTGTCTGTCTTCCTTCTTCCTTTCCATATGTATTTATTGGGCAAGAGACACACAACTACACAGAGTGACAAGTGCCAGGAAGGTGGCTATTGAGAGCTCTGCAGGAGTCCCGAGAAGAATCCCCTGCGGTCACCGGAGGCCTTGGCAAAGGAGATTTCCAGGAGACTCAGCATGGATATCGAATCTTCCTATTAGAGGAGAAGCTGTGAGTCACAAGCCCCAAGCAGCCCTACAGACTTCCCCGTGAATCACCCACTGCCCTCTTCTCCTCATTAGAGGCACATGCCGTGGGGAATTCTCCTTAGAAAAGGAGGGAGGAAATATGGGGGAAGTGGTGGGAGGACAGGGCTCAGAGTGGAGTCCCCGAGGCCCATTTCCCCACCATTGTCTTTCTAGACCCACAGCCCTGATCCCAGAAGCGGAGCCTCAGGATGGCCGGGTCTCGAATAGCCAGGGCCTTCGTGAGGCTTCCTGCTTACAAAGTGCTTTCACACACTTTATTTCATCCGCACACCACTGTGTGTTATGGGAAGGTCTCCAAGGGAAATTGCTTCATGAGGAAGGGAAAGAGGCTGGCTGAGCAGAAAAGAATCACTTCCCCCTAGCTTGGGCCCAGGACCACCCAGAGGGGCGGGGAATTGTCCATAGCCTGCAAAGATCTTTCACTTATCCATCACGTTCACTGAGCACTCCCTGCGTGTTGGGCACTGTTCTAAGGGCAGGATGGCCCAGGTCCAGGCAGAAAGAAGAGCATGGGGCCCAAGGCAGGAGTGAACTTTGCCCATGCAACATAAAGCAAGGAGGCCGGGTTGGCTAGAAGGGATGAGGGAAGGAGAAGAGTGGCAAAGATGTGGTCAGAGATGTGCAGCAAGACAAATATCAGGTCTTGCAGCCTCTGCAGTCCCAGCTACGTGAGAGGCTGAGGCAGGAGAATCACTTGAACCCGAGAGTCAGAGGTTGCAGTGAGCTGAGATCTTGCCATTGCACACCAGCCTGGACAAGAGCGAAACTCTGCCTCAAAAAAAAAAATTAAAAAAATAAGTAAATAAATAAAAGGGCCAGGCTCAGTGGCTCACGCCTGTAATCCCAGCACTTTGGGAGGCCGAGGCAGGTGGATCACAGGGTCAGGAGTTTGAGACCAGCCTGGCCAGTATGGTGAAACCCCGTCTCTACTAAAAACACAAAAATTAGCTGGGTGTGGTGGCAGGCACCTGTAATCCCAGCTACTTGGGAGGCTGAGGCAGGAGAATCGCTTGAACCCAGGAGGCAAATGTGGCAGTGAGTCGAGATTGCGCCTCTACACTCCAGCCTGGCAACAGCAACAGAGCTAGGCTCCCTAAAAAAAAAAAAAAAAAAAAAAAAAAAAAAAAAAAAAAAAAAAAAAAAAAAAAAAAGAGGAAAGAAAGGAAAAGTCAGAGGGATGAACACAGCACTTGGGGCCTCTTTTCCCCAAAGGGTATCTGCCAGTTATGAGATAAAAGGATCAAAGCCTAAGAAGTTGAGCAGAGCTTTTAAAAGACTCATGGGTCTAATGGGACAAAAATTAAAGCTCACGGCATACCAAGGGGGAACCTGGTACACCCTATGCTTTGGGGAGTACCCAAAAAAATTAATCCAGGCTGGAGAGTCTAGTAAATCCACCAAGATTTTAGTTGAAACTTCAAAGGGATACACCCTTGGACTAAGAATGAGCTAGTCATAACAGGTTCTAAAGTCCAACTTCAGGTCATCTCAACCCAACTCAATCTCCAACTGGATTAAGGTGATGTGGGATTCCTAAAAACCCCTAAACACCTTCCACAAAGGAAGCCATCTCTAATGGAAAATAACATTATCTTAAGCTTCAAATGATCTCTAAAATTTTTCATATACAATGCCTGACAATCAACCAAAAATGTGAGAAAATGAAACAAAATCAAAAATCAAGAGAAAAAATAGACAATAGAAATAAGTGCAAGGATCTATATAGTTATTGGTTACAGACATTAAAATAATTATGTTTAATATGCTAAAATATATAAATGGAGAAATAATAACTGAGAATTATCTAAGGCAAATGAAAGGCATCAAACCACAGATTCAAAAACACCATGAATCACAAGCAATATAAACAGAAAAAGAAAAAAAACTACAGGCATATTATAAATGAAACTGCTAAAAATCAAAAACAAAGAGAAATTTCTAAAGCAGCCAGAGAAAAAAAGACAGATCGCCCTCAGAGCGACAACAAGGCAGTTAGCTGAAATCTCAGCAGACGTAACAAAAGTCAGAAAACAATGGACTGTATCTTCGAAGTGATTAAATAAGGCCAAAACTTGAATTCTTTACCCAGTAAAAATTCTTCAATAATGAGGCTGGGCACGGTGGCTCACACCTATAATCTCAGCACTTTAGGAGGCCAAGGCAGGTGGATCATTTGAGGTCAGGAGTTCGAGACCAGCCCAGCCAACATGTCTCTACTAAAAACACAAAAATTAGTTGGGCACGGTGGCAGGTGCCTATAATCCCAGCTACTCGGGAGGCTGAGGCAAGAAAATCTCTTGAACCTGAGGGGGTGGAGGTTGCAGTGAGCCAAGATCACACTACTGCACTCCAGCCTGGGGACAGAGGGAGACTCTGTCTCAAAAAAAAAAAAATCTGCAATAACGAAGATAAAAGCATTTATTTGTAGGAAAGCAGAAACTAGAACTTGTCCTCAGAAGATAATGCCCTAAATGCAACACTAAAAGGATAGCTTTGTCTGCTGGTTGAATGGACAGAGAGAGGCAGTGCTGAGGCAAGGAGGCCAGTCTGGAGGCCACTGAAGTACTGTAGGCGAGACACGATGGCGACTGGACGAGAGAGGTAGGTTTGTTCTCAAACTCCTGGCATCAAGTGATCCTCCTGCCACTACTAAGTGCTAGGGTAACAGGCATGAGTCACCATGCCTAGCTCAGAGAAGTAGTTTTGGAAATGATGAGAAGTGATATATTTTGGAAATGGATGTGTTTGAAAATGGACCTGTCTCAATTTGCCATGAAATTAAATATGGTTTATGAGAGAAAGGGAGGAGTCAAGGATGTCTCCAAAGTTTTTGACCTGAACTAATAATGGAAGAATGAAATTGCTATTAACACAGGCGGGAAGATTGCAGAAGGAGCTGGTTTTGGGTGACTCAAAAGTTTGTTTTTGGAATTGCCAAATTTGGGAGCCTATTTGACAAACATGGAAATGTCAAGGAAGCTATTGGATATGCAAGTTTGCAGTTAGGGGAGAAGTCTAGGCTAGAGATATGGGTTTGTTTCCTTTTTTTCACATTTCCCTTATAATGATGATGATCATGACAAAATTGCTAACATTTATTGTTTACTATGTGTCAGGTACTGTGCAAAACATTTTATATATACTATTTCATTTCATCTTTATAGCTACCATGTGAAGCAAATTCTTTCTTTCTTTCTTGTTTTTTTTGAGGTGGAGATTTGCTCTTGTTGCCCAGGCTGGAGTGCAATGGCGCGATCTCGGCTCACTGCAACCTCCGTTTCCTGGGTTTAAGTGATTCACCTGCCTCAGCTTTCCAAGTAGCTGGGATTACAGGCATGCGCCACCATGCCTGGCTAATTTTGTATTTCTAGTAGAGACAGGGTTCCACCATGTTGGTCGGGCTGGTCTCGAACTCCTGACCTCAGGTGATTTGCCCTCCTTGGCATCTCAAAGTGCTGGAATTACAGGCGTGAGCCACTGTGCCCGGCCATGAAGCAATAGTTTCATTCCCTTTTTAGAGATGTGAAAACTAAGGGTTTGAGAGGAGAAATTATCTGCCCAAAGTCATACAGACACTAGTTGGACCTATCAGTTTTGTCTCAGGTATTTAGAACAGAATCTCGGAATTTCCTTTGGTGGTATTATTTTCTTTCTTTCTTTCTTTTTATTTATTTTTTAATTTTTTTTTAGAGACAGGGTTTCACCATGTTGGTCAGACTGGTCTCGAACTCCTGATCTCAGGTAATCCACCCACCTTAGCCTCCCAAAGTGCTGGGATTACAGGTATGAGCCACCGCGCCCGGCCTGGTGGTATTATTTTCACACTTACTGAGTGTTTTACAAACCATGGATACTTAAAGCATGTTTATTGAATGAGTGAATGATTGGCGTCGATCTTGGTGGAACTTTTCAATCCCATCTTTGTAGTGGGCTCCACTACAGAGGGCTGTCCAGGCTGGGAGGGAAGGAGGCCCCAGGGGTCAGAAGTATGTGATGCCCCCACAGGCCCTTGTAGGGGAACCCATCCCTGCAAGAACCAGTCACATCTCCATTACACCAACCCACCTTCTGAAGGTCCAGGACCCCTCACTGCCTCTTCCCAGAGAGTATCTATTTCCTCCCCGCCTTTGTCTTCCTGAACCAGCCTTCAGGAAACCTGGGGCTTCCAGGACCTTCCCACGCTTGGGAATGGAAGGGATTTAGCACTGACAGTTAGGTGGGAGAGGAGAATAGATGCAGTTCACTGCAGGTGCTTCTTACACATGCCGGAACTGAGGCCCAGAAAGGGGAAGCAGCTTGCCCCAGGTTAGTGGGGCAGGGCTCGATGAGCTCAGAACAGAGGCCACTTCCCCAGAGCTCTGATGGCCCAGAGAAGAGTGTTGTATGATGTGGGCCCAGGGTGTCCCTTCGGCAAGGCAGCCTACTTCTATTTTGTTCTCCTTTGCCAGACATTTGGGAGGGGCCCTGCTGCTTGAGCGACAGAATGGGGAGCAGCTGAGTCACAAGAGGACGATACTACTGGACCATATTACAGATTGGGAAAACTGAGGTTAAAGAGTCTGATAACTTACACACCACTAACAGGTGGCAGAGTGAGGACTTGAACGCAGGTCTAGCCAACTCCAAGTCACATCCACAAACATCCCCCTCAAACCTCAGGTCTTTGCTGCTCTCCTGGCCTTGGTGTTCCCTTTCCAGTTCACCTCTCAAATGGGCAACTGGGTTATATCATTCAGGTCTTAGTTTATCTTGCCTTCATAGCCTTTGGCCTTATTTCATGATTATCTTATTTATATAACACCCCCAATATATAGTGCCATGAGATGGCAAGTGACAAAGTAAAATTACTTCTGCTGTTCAGCTAAAATAGCAAAGTCATTTTAGCTACTTATGAGTAGGAATTTTGTCTTGCACCAAGGTATCCCTGAAACTATATTTGTCAATATTTGTTGAACACATGGATGAATGAATGAATGAGTGAATGAATGAGTGTGTGGGCCTCCTGCCTAGCTTTAAAAGCCACAGTCAAGGAGAAGGTGGCTGTAAGCTTATCTTCCTTGGCAGAGCAGTTTTGTCCACTGTGGCGCTAGCAGAGAGAGCACACCCTTTGTTCTCCATCCGACGTAAGACACCTCCTTGGCTCGAAAAGGGGAGCAGGGCTGCTGGTCTGCACCTACAGGCTGTTCTCAAACAGGCTCGCCCCACAGAGCTCCGGAAAAGAGGTGGGCAGCCCTCCCACCTGCTCTCCAGAAAGCAACCTGCAGAGAAAAACAGCCGGGGGTGACCCGGATCCACCCGGCGGGCGCGGGGCGGGACCGCGGCGGCACCGCGTAGGCATTGTTTGCCTCTGTGTATGGCAACCAGAAACCACTGCAGCTAGCACTTCTCTGAGGCACCCCACCCCCCTTTATTTTAATCTCCTAAACTGATTTGTCAGCAGCAGGAAGTGACATGCAGCTTTCCTCACAAAAGGGAAACTCCTCCGTGTTACCATGGGGATGGAGGCCACTGTAGGATCACAGATTTATATAATCTTAAAGGTGTATACACCATGACGTCATCCTCCGACGGGCCAGGGGAGGGAGGGAAACAGTCGCCAGAGGCTGCAAGTCGAAAGCAAATTAGCTATGTTTTGCAAAATTCCAAGGAAAAGAGAGGATGCGGTGGAGCTGGCAGGGGTTGAAGGTATTATAACGAAATAAGGCGTGTCTGGAAATCACAGAAAAGCATAAAGTATGCATTGATGCATTTTCTACATTCCAGAATTAGAGAGATGGGAGGAACAGTACTCAGATCCAGTGCAAATTGGTCATTTTACTGGGTGGGAAAGCAGAGCCAGGAGAACTGACAGAAGTCATTAGGACAGAGGCAAGGGGATGGACACATTTCTCCATGGTCTACTGTGTGCAAGGCACTTTACGTTCATCGGCCCATGTCTTTCTCACAAGTGAGCCTCAGTTTCCTCCTTTGTAAAATGGGTGTTGCTGTTAAAGGTTATTTAACCTTAGCAGTGCCTGGCACACAGTGCTCACTCCAAAACTGACAACCATCATTACCACATTATCAGTATTCAATGATGATAAAGTCTTATCTCAATCTCTTCCTGGGACACAAACACATTAATAGATTTTGAGTATCTTTCTTTTCATCCTGAGGTATTCTTTCTTTCCCAAGGAAAGCAGTCTGAGGCCAAATACGACATTTTCTGGAGGGTCTGAACACAGTGACTCCAGTACATGTGGATAGGGGTTATCACCCCTGGCTCTCAGGGCTGGTATGAGGCAGAGAGGCTTGAGCTGGGAGAAATGAGTGACTTGTTTTCACTGGCAGCTCCCTTAGGCAGCCGCTGTATTTTTCCACTGCGTGGATCACACTGGAGATTAATTTTGGTTCAGCCGCTGCCTGCCAAGCAGAAAGTGAAGGCCCTATCCCACGGGGAAGTCAGCCATGGCATCTGTCACAGACTTGATGTCGCTGGTACATTTCCACGGAGAGATATTTACAATAGTAAATTTCTAGGCTTTGATAAAAACATTGGGTACGGTTTGTTTTGATAGGCATGAACATACTTGTAATCGGAAAGCCAGCTGAGGAAATGAGCTTGCCAGCCCAAGTTCTTAGAGCTTACAACACAGAGATCTTTCAGACCCTGGGAGTCAAGTGGCAGACAGTGAGCCAGAGGGGCAACGTCAAGGACACTGATTCTGTATAAAGATCTTAAACAATGGGGCTGGACCAGAATCACCACAGGGTGCTCCTGGATAAGGCGAGTGGGATATTTCCTTTTCTGCTTCCTATAGCACTTTGTCCAGAAACAAAGAGTGGGGGTGGGTCACTAAGGTGGCAGTAATCCAAGAGCTTCGTTGTTTTTTTATGCAACATTATAGACTGGATTACAGGTTGGTAGCAATTACATCTTTTCTGTTTCAGTTGGTTGGCAAAGGGAGTACAAATTCAGAATATTATCCCAGAACAAGTCAGTTAAGTTTAATTGCTTATCTTCAACAAAATCATGAAATCAGAGCAGATGACCTAAAGGCGGCAACTACCAAAAATACCATGTCTGTATGCAGAAACACCAGTGTCAATGTCCTCCACAATGCTAGCAATGGTCAGGCTGGGGATGGGGGTGCCGCAGGTGATTTCTTTACATTGTATTTACTTATAGTGCTTGGATTTTTTTTTTTTTTTTTGCCATTCAATATATTATTTTCACAAAAACAAAGCCTTTTTAAAAGCAAAAAGAGTGCCACGAGGTGGGCAAGTGAAAGTCCACAAAACAGATGTAGATTCCAATTCCCCTATTCCTGCCACTTAGCTATACTGGGTCTCAGCATCTCATTTGCAAAAGGCCTGGCTGAGTTTCTCTGGGGAGCAGGTAACACACACTGACTTATGTCATGTATTTCAATAAACCTTTGTCTCATCATGACCCTAGCACAGCTCAGAGGGGAAGGTGACTTTTTATATTAACCTGAGGAGGGTATTAAAAAGGCAGTCCAGGCAACTGGCCATTTCTTCCTAGCTTTGGCTCTGGGGACACCCTGGCATCTGGGTGACATAGTAGGTTACAGAGCTGCTAAAACGGGCATGGACGGGCACACTGACCAATCCTAATACTCATTTAAATATCTTCCTCACAACCCAGCCATTTCATGGGATCATAGGTCCACCACAGGGCATGGGATCTCAACACATTCTGCAGGCCCTTGTTGGAATTCTTCCCTAGTTCACAAGTAGGAGAGGGGTTAGATGTGGATGCTAAAGAAATAAAAGCATTGAAATTTCAATAGAAATGCCATAATTTATTCCATTGTATAAAAAAAGTCATCCTTATGTAACAAAATGTCTTCTCAGAAGAAGAAATATATTATTTCAGGTCATAAATAATCAGCAAACATACAACTGTTGGCAACTAAAAAAAACCTCAACACTGGTGTTTTCCATCAGTGCTGAAAACAAACCTGCTCACGACATATTTACAGAGAGTACAGTACTCAAAAACAAAAATTGAGGTATTTGGTTCTAGGAGTAGACAATGACATTTGTGAAGGCAGACACCTACACAAAAATAAATAAGGTGTATATTCTCATATGTATATGTGTTGTTGGGAATGATAATACTGGTAGGTATCTCAAGCATGAAGAGATTCTACAAAAACCGGGGCAAGCAAAAAGAAATTGGCTCACACACTGAGTCCTTTCTCTTCTGCCCCATTTTGTCAGAGGGACTTGATGTACCCACTACATATTGGTCCCGAATGCTGAGTTCAGCAAATGTCTTGACGCTAAGTCATCAGGACGACTGGTTAGGAACCCAGTGGAACTCGGGTGAAATTAAATAAATAAGGACCAGCCCTCTTGAGCCCCTCCCAGAGTTATTGCATTTCTCCTCTCAAGAAGGAGCCTGGAGTCCCGGTGGGATGTGAAGAGCCTCACCTCCCATGGCCTTTCAGCAGCTGGGAGAGGTCGTGATGGGGCTCTGCAGGTAGCTCAGCGCACTGTTCGTGGAGTGGACAGGGATGGAGACGGGGAAGTTGAAGACGGTGGTGGTGGAGGTGCCTCGGTCCAGCACGGCCATGGCAGGGCTCCCAGCCTCTGCTGAGCAGTGTGGGGCCAGCACCTGGGACTCGAACTGCAGCAGCTGGCCCATGAAGCTGAAGTTGGGGGAGATGATGCTTCGCCTCTGCTTCACAAACTCAAAGGCCTCGTCCAGCTTGACTCGGTTAGTCCTCATGAGGTAAGCGAGGCAGATGGTGGCTGATCGGGAAATACCTGCCTGGCAGTGGACAAACACCCTTCCTCCAGCATTCTTGATGGAGTCTGGAAAACAAAAGGAGCAGCTGGTTACTTGAGAGCTCAGGAGAACCACCCCAAGCCCAGGTACAGGGTGTCTGAGAAAGGTCATGTGTGTCTTATCTAGAAATGGTCACTATCACCACATGCCATCACATGGATGCTGCTCATGGAGCAACGCAACGTGGGTGCCATGCAAAGGATGGCACAGGATTTAAACCCAGACTGGGAGTTCACACTCAGCAGATAGATCTCAGACCAGTCAATTCAACTTTGTGAGCCCCCAGTTTGCTAATCTGTAAAGTGGGACATCAAATCAAATTCATATTTTGTAGGAATGTTGCCCACACCAGACAGATACTGAATGCGTGGAAGAAGGCTCAGAAGACTTCATTCAAGTCCTTGCTACAGAGGATGGGTTTAAGGGCTAAAATGAGAAGAGAGAGGCAGAAAAGCCCCAGGCATCCATTCCATTTACCTATAAAGTCAATGGCCTCGTTGAACCAGGAGCTGATGTCCGCCTTGTGGTTGTCCTCCACAGGGATACTCTTGTACTGGTAGTGACCCTCAAAATGGTTGGGACAATTGGCTGAGACGTTGATCAAAGCAGTGATGCCCAAGGCATCTAGCATGTCCTTGCGGGAAGCATGGTAGGCACTGCCCAGGTACAGAAAGGGCAGGATCTCCACCGGGCCACCCTGAAATCCAGAAATATCCAACATTCGTCAAGCTTCCTCAAAGCCAAGGCCAGTGCCCACACCCACAAAAACTTCCTGCTGGAGAAGTCAATTCCAGATACCAGGTGAACTCAGTTATTTATCTGGAGGATAAATAAATAGGGGTCTAAGCCCATTTGCCTGGGCAGGACCAGCAAGTTCATTTCTGTAGAGCCTACAATTAGAGACTCGGCTTCATCAGACAACTTAACTGTGGAATAAATCATATCCCTGTGTCCCCTCTGTTATAAATAAAGCTGCAGGTCACTTTCTATATTCTCCCTGGCACTGCTCTTCCATGCTTTTGCCAGTTCTTACTTCTCCCCTGTGGCAGGGGCGCCTACTAACCTGATCGTAGAGTGGAGTACTGCAGGAACTGCACCCAGATTCCGAGCTGTCAGGGACGCTAGTACTCAGGGGAAGGCTGAGCCCCATGGGGGTCGACTGTTTGCTGCACAGCTCCGGGCAGGAAGCTGAAAACGCTTCGTATCCTCCTGGGAATACAAAGACATTTTTTTTTTCCATTAGTGTCGCCGGGACTGGGCACCTTCATACAACTCCCCCACCCACCAAGGGCTGGAAGTTTACATCGGAAAGGCCCAGGCAAGTCTTTGTTCCCAGAGCCAAACAAAGCCAACGACAAGTTCCAGAGATAAATGTACTCCAACGCCCAAGCGCTGCAGATGGGGCGGGCCCCCAGGAGCCGAGGGCCAGGGGTACCAGGCAAAACCTCAGGGGTGTACGGCCCGCCCCGAGCTTCCCGGAGGGCGTACCTTTGAGGAAGAAGACTTTCGCGGCGCGCGCCTCACGGCAGAGCGCGCCGGCCGCCAGGGCCAGGGTGCCGTCGCGCTTGGCGCCGTCCAAGGCGGCGCTGCGCTCGTCCAGCAACACCACGGCTTGGTAAGCGCCGGCCAGCAGGCGGCCGCGCAGCTCGGCGTTGGGCACGATGTGCTCCAGGCCCATGGCGCCCTTGGCCCGGCGCCGCACGATGGTGCTGAAGCGCACGTTGACCGAGCCGGCGATGTGGCCTGCGTTGAAAGCGAAGAAGGAGCGGCAGTCCAGCAGCAGGCACTGCGCCGCGCGCTCCCCCAGCAGTGCCCGCAGGCCTCCGGCGTCCAGGGTGCCCACTTCCATGACCATGGCCGGCTTCAGCGCCCCCAGCGTGCTAGACCCTGCGGTGCTCTTTGTCCTCGGGGCCAAGGGCAGGGTGGCGGCTTTCGAGGAAAAGGTCGACTCCCCCCCACCAAGGTCTCTGCGCGGAACCAAAAGCCGCTTTTGGACTGAGAGAGGGGCGTCACGCAGGACTCAAGGTTCCTCGGCTTCTTCGCGGCCCCGACTGCCCCTCCGACCCGTGTCGCGCTCACAGCCCGAACGTCCTTCACAGCTAGCCGGAGTGGGAAAGCGCCTTTATAGGCGGCCTCTCGGGGGGCGGGGCGGACCGGGCAGGCGCGCAGGGGGAGGGGGTGTTTGTTTGAATGGTGATCACGTGATAGGGCGGTGACGTCACCCGCCCTGCCCGGCCCGGCGCCGCCGAGCCAGAGGCGAAGACGTCATCAGCCTCGGAGCTGGGTCCGCTTGCCGCGCACTGGCTCGCGGCCCGGCCCCCGCCCTGCCGTCCGGCCTGCTCCTGGCGCTTCCCCTGGGACCGGGTCCGCGCCGCGCTCCGGACCCAGCGGGGAGGTGGAGGGCTCGCTGCCAGCTGAGGCTGACCTCTAGGATGCGAGCGGCCCGGAGAGGGAGCGACGTGCCACCTGCCTCGGCATCGCCGCTCCCCCCAACACCTCCCTCCCCGAGTCCCCTTCCCAGCGCCCCTCGGCCGCCGACCGAGTCGAAAGGGGCTTCCTGCGCTTTTGCATATTCTTGTGCCCCTTTCTTTCATTTACTCATCACTAACGGGCGAGGAAAGTGAGGTTCCCCTGGCGAAGCGACGGACTTGCCCAGAACCACACTGCTGGGGTGGTAGGGGCAGCAAAGAGGCGCCTAAGATGAAGTTTATAGAAAAATGAACAACTCTGCCGATAGAAAAGTCGTTCCTACCAAGAGCGACCTGAGCGAGTCGGGGTGGAGAGGTTCAGGGCAATGCTTTCCTGTTTCCCAGACTTTCTTTAAGGTGGCTTTAAAATACCTACGTTTGCCATGAAAATGCAAGCCAGCAAACCCCCGCCGGGAAATAATGCTGTTCCTAGTGTTGTGGCCCCCGGAAGACTTGGAGCCAAAGAAGGCAGGTCAGGGGGCTGGAATCCCTGTGGGGGTCGCAAGGCCCTGCGGTGGGTTCCGGGGTTTGGCGTACGGAGGGGTGAGGAGTGACCCGCAACACGACTCGACGGCGCCCCCCAGGGGCCATCCGACGCGTTTCTGTCACCTTGGCTCAAGACCGAGCTTCTCCATCCCTTTCTTTATTCCACAAATACACAGTATACCGAGTGAGCGCCCACTACGCGGGGGGCTGGGGGGGCTCCAACCCGGAACGGAAGCCTCCCCTCCTCTCCCCGCTCCCGGTCGTCGCGGCCGTTACAGGCTGAAAGCAAAATCCAATCCTGGGCTGTTCTGGGCGGATTGTCAGGACCTGGATCGCGACGCTTGGGAAGACCCCCCACAGCAATATCGGTGCCCTGAGTCCCAGTGACGGCCCCCTGGACAGCGGGGCCTGCTGCAGCGACGCAACGCGCTAGGGTACACAAACATAAACATTGCGCCACCCGCCCGGGTGCCGAGTCAGGAACATTCTGCGGTTTCCTCCCCTCTTGGGGGAGGGGATTTCGCCGGCCACCCTCTGTCGTCGCTGTGCGAGTTGTATCACCACAGGCAACTTCTGCATTTGTCTCGCTTAGCTTGTGTGTTTTCGCCTGCGCAAATGTTCTGCCTGGATTCTTCTAGAAAAGTTCAGGGCATGGAGTGCTTTTTTCAAAGGGCGTTTTCTACCTTCATTTGAACCTTGGTCGAGGACAGCAAAGAGGTCCTCAGATAAGAGCAGCACTCCCTCTGTATGGAGAGATAGAAGGAAAAGAAATTATTTGTTTATACTACTTATTCAGCTAAGGAACTCAACATACTTTTTGCGTTGAATCATAGAATGTTACAGCTGCTGACTTTTCACTGCATACCGACTTGATTTGTCTCGATTTTTTTTCTTCACCGAGAGTATTTATTGTACCTTCCCCTGCTGAAATTTTTCAAAAAGAAAACAATTTTTAAGGGCCTCACGCGGTGGCTCATGCCTGTAATCCTAGCACTTTGGGAGGCCGAGGTGGGTGGATCATTTGAGGTCAGGAGTTGGAGACCAGCTTAGCCAACATGGTGAGACCCCTGTCTCCACTAAAAATACAAAAAATAGCAGAGCGTTGTGGCGCATTCCTGTAGTCCTAGCTACTCAGGAGCTGCTGGGAGAAAGAGGTTGCAGTGAATGGAGATCATGTCACTGCACTCCAGCCTGGGCTACAGAGCAAAATTCCATATCAAAAAAAGAAAAGAAAAGAAAAGAAAAACTTTTTAATACATATGTCACAGTGGTAGTGGCACAGTCTGGCCCTAGAGTCAGGTGTCTCCTGGCCTCTTCTGCTTTTCTCTCTCCTCCCTTGCTGGAAAGAGTACAGAGAGTAGGCCTGACCCTGTCATTTTGCTGCTGGTTGGTCCTAGGTGAGTCTCCACTCCTACTGAGCCTCCAAGCCCACATCGGTACAGTGGGTCTACACTGGCCCACTTTGTAGATGGTTTAAAGCCCAAGTGAGAGATGTGGGGTTTAGGGAACCCAGGCCCTACCCCTTCCTGATCTCTATGATTCACTGTATCTCTAGGGTTTCCCCTTCCCAGCAGAATGGTTCTTTATATATCATCATGCCCTGTGCCTTTTGGAGACTTGCATCAGAACCAGGGAGTTCACTGCAAGCCATTGGCTTATGGAAGACATCAGTAGACAGGGTCCCAACTCAGGGAGAGCTCCTCTTGAAGACCCACTAACACACAGTGCTCAGGTCAGTGGGTCACCTGCCTGGAGACAGGTGGTAAAGGCGTAGCCACCTAGGCCCCCAGTCCAGGCAGTGAAGGTGCTGCTTCTGACTGGGGATAGAGCCAAAGAGAGCCCAGCATCATCTGGTGTCTAACCACAGAAGGAGTGAGGGGCTGGCCTTGTGGGCCTGGCTACCAGAGGGAAGCAGATAAATCAGTGGATGTTGACTCAGGGGAGAGAATTGGGTCTTTCTGACCTTGGCTGTTCCCAATTCTACCTAGTCCTGCTTAGGAATAAACCTGGAGGCAGTGTGGAGTAACAGGAAGAAGAGATCAGGGTTCTGCACTCCTCAAAAAGCTGGCCTGTATTCGTCACCTTTAATGTGTGGCCTTGAGTAAGTCCCCCCACAGGGCTGAGCTCCACACCTCCGTCCCATGACAGAGAAAATAGCAACAGTTACCTCCAGAGACTGTGGGGAGACTCAGGTAGCCAGGGTTGGCCCCAGCTCATAATCCCTGTCCTAATCCTGCTCTCGAAGGTGACTTTGGATCTGTCTTGGGGTCACAGGAAAAGGGAAGAGTGGCGTTCCCCCTGATGACAGTCAGAAAGTGGCCGCCGCTCACTGTCTGCTCTGTGACCTTGGGCGGCAGCTTACCATTTCTGAGCCTCTATTTCCCCATTTGTAAACTGGGAATAACATCCATTTAGGACCAAGTAAAACAATGTATGAGAAAGAACCTGATGTGGATGACACCCAGAGAGGGTGCTCTCAAGAGAGGGAGCAGGGTCCCACAGTCATGTTCTTTCTTTCAAAACCCATGGCCTTTTTCCTGTCTCCCCTGTGCTGTATGGAGGTTTCTCCCCTCAATATCCTTCTGACTCCCCATTTCTTAACAAATCCAAAACTCACTCCCACTGGGCCTTGGCCATCTATATGGCTCAGCCGCCCACTCTTTTTGCTTACTCTCTTGTGCTCCAGGAAAACTCTGTGAGCCTGTGTTCTTCAAATGTTCTAGTCCTCTCCCACGTCTTTGCTCACACTCCTTTCCCTCCCCCTGCCAGACAGGGGCCCCTCTGGGCTCCACCATAATCTTTCCAAGTGAAGACTCCCCTGGTTTCTCCAAGTTCTCCCTCTCCCGGGCCCTGGAGGACATTGTTCATATATTCTGATTGTGTAAAAGTCACCTAGATCTTTGTCATACTCCCTCCAGTTTGTAAGCTTGTCAGCTTGAGGGCAAGGGCTGTGTTTTTCTCAGCATTGTACTCCCTACTCTACTACCTTTGATGCGGTGCCTGGCACACAGTAGGTTCACAATTTGGGAAATGGTAGAATTGTTTCAAAGGGTACTGTTGACAAGTGTCAGAACAGAGGAGGGTGGACATTGACGTTTATGCAGCCTCACCTCTGGGTTAGGTACATTGCAGGTACCATTCCATGAATCTATCAGTGATCCTGTGAGGTGCTTGTTATCCCCATTTTATACGCAGGGAAGGAGGCTCAGAGAGAAGGCATGCCTAAGGTCACAAAGTTGGTAATCATCAGACACAGATCAAACCCAGGGCCTGTCTGACTTGAGAGAGGGAGCTGGGCCTGGGTCTGTTCCCATGTCCGGCAGCGCTGCCTGAAGCCTCTGCCTCTCAGCTTCCTGGAGCTCTTCTTGCTGGACAGAGTGGCCCCTGGTGTCAGCCCTGCAGGGAACCTGGCGCCTCCTAAGACTCCCAGTTCCGGCCCTAGCGCCCCTGCTAAAGAGACTCAGTGGCCACTTGGGCCTACCTTGAGGGCCTAGCAAGGGGCTGACTTCACCCTCCACGCCCAGGCAGTTAGGACAGAACTAGCTGCCATTGCACAGTTCTTACAAACAGATCTCCACGCTCAGACCTGGCAGGGCCCACAGAGCTGTTTCATTCTGCCTAACCCCCACGTTTGAGAGGCAAGGGCCCAGAGAGGTTAGGCAATTTGTCCAAAGTCACACAGTGTTCAGAGCATTCTAACTGTAGTCAGCATTGTATGAGCTGTGTGTCCAAACCCTAAACAGTATTTATCTTTTGAGGGTGAAGTTCCTCTTATTTTCTTCCTTATGACTCTGAATGGTTTGAACTTTTTAAATGTGTAACTTTTGTAACCAGAGATAAAAGATAAGATTAGAAGGCAACCATATGTAGGTAACAACAATGTTGTTAAAACCAAGTTACAGAGTTAGACCGCCTGGATTAGAATCTCAGCTTGCTTACTCACTAGCTGTGTGTGTTTTTTTGGCAAGTTACTTTACCTCTGTGAGCCTCAGTTTTCCCATCTTTAAAGTGGGAATGTTAATAGTATCAATCTTGTAGGACTGATAGGAAGATTGTATATGAGACAGCCTGTGAGACAAATCTGGCTTGCTACCTCTTTTTGTACAACCCACAAACTAAGACTGGTTTTTACATTTTCAATGGTTGGGGGGAAAAAATCAAAAGAAGAATCATGTTTTATGACATGTGAATGTCATATAAAATTCAAACTTCCGTGTCCATAAAGTTGTATTGTAACACAGCCACACCCATTCCTTTCTTTCACACTACAATTGGAGGTGTATACTTGTGACAGAGACTGTATGGGTCGCAGAGCCTCAAATATTTACCCTTGTCTCTTTACAGGAAAAGTTTGCCAACTGCTGATATGAGCTCATGGATGAAAAGTACTTTAGAACAATGCCTGGCACAGAGTAAGTGTTTAGAAAACTTTGTTATCATTATTACGTAGATATTTATAAAAATCTTCCCCTCGGATGTTTTTAAAAGCAGTGATTGCTTTCATCGTGTAATTCATTGTGTCCAAGGCACAGTTTTCATATTTTAGCATCTCTCAGAGTGCAACAGTCAGAGGTATGTCATCATTAATCGGCAGCATTTCCTTTCTTAATGGTGCATAAATTAGCCAAAGGGCCTCAGAGCTGGTAACATCTTAGAGCCAGTAGATGCAGTAAAGTATAAAAGGTTTAAGATGGAAAAGAATTAAAGTGCTACAGTCATTCAGTCAACAGCCATCCTAGTGGTGGGACAGACTTGTTAAGTGTCAGGACAGAAACTGGGTAGCCCAGGGAAGATGTGCAGAGGAGGGGACCTCTACTCAGAAATGTAAAGGCTGATGTAGGCTAGAAATACCTGGAGGAAGTGCCTCTGAGAGGTGAGCCTCAGTTACCTACCTCTTCCCCCTGGAAGCCTCCGCTCCCTATAAAATAAGAATAGTAATAACCCCTAAAGACCACTTTGTGATTCACTGTGGGGGACAGTCCCCATCAATGACCATTTCTCTCTCTCCCACTAGCTAGAAAGCAAGGGTATGGATTCTTGTCTTTCTTGGTCCCCAGTACAAATCTCAAAGCCAGGCTTGTTGGACAAACAAATGAAGATGAGCCTGGGAGCCCAGGCAAGGGACCAGGAGCAGCGGGGCCTCCATGACTCACACAAGCCTCATCCCTGAACCAAGGATACAGCCTGCCAGCAACGGCCCCAAGCCACGCCCCACCACTGGGGGAACTGACACTGCGGTGAGAAGTGACAGCTTTCTGTTGTTTCTTTTTTTTTTAGCAGAACATGAATTGAGACATAATTTCATTTTCATAATTAGAAAACACTAATGTCGATGGGAGCAAATGAGATCACAGTTGTCTATTCCAAACTCTTCTCTGGGAAAAGGAGGAGGAAAAGTTATTGGTACTATGTTCAGAATCGTAGCTGAAGACGCAGAAATTGCTCATCCCAATTTTGCCTTTGTGGGTAAGTAATTTGGGGGCAGGTCTTATTAAAAATAATTGCCAATCTTTGCTGAGCCACAGAACTTTGCTAGGTGCTTTATATTCATTTCCTGGTATGATCATGACATTAACCCTGTGAAATGGGTACCCTTACTACCTCCATGTGAAGAGATGGGGGAACTGAGGAACAGAGAAGTTAACTAACTTGTCCAAAGATGCATAGCGAGGGCTGTGTCTCTCTCTGCTTTTTAACTTTTTTGTTCTTATCTCTCCACAGCACATAGCAGGCATGATATGAAGGTGGCATGCTACACAATTTCACTGTTTGTTTCTTGAAATAATAACTTATAGGGGCCTGCTTCTAGATTCCAAAGAAAAGAAAAAAGGAAATATGCCCCAAACTCAGGCTTTCTGCCTGGCCCTGCCTGACTCACTGAGCCGAATTGGACAAATGATTCATTCACTGGCCTTGACCTCAGTGGGTTTGGCCACCCATTGAGAGTGAAGTCACACCTCCAGCACTGTGATGCATTCATTGGTCCAGTCACCTAACTTCATGGCAGGCAAGAAACAGGCCTGGGTGAGCCTGCCGGGATCAGGGACAGGAGGGCACACACATGTTTCTAGATATCCTCGAGCTGTGGCTGGGCTGCTCAGCTCTTCCCTAGGAGATCCTCCACGTCCTAAATTAATTTGCCAGGGCTTCCGTAACAAAGTGCCACAGACCGAAAGGCTTAAATAAAAATGTATCGACTCATGGTTCTGGGGGCTGGAAGTCTGAGATCAAGGTGCTGGGGATTAGGATTTCAACATGGGTTTTTTTGGGAGAGAACACTTCAACCCATAGGAGGGCCTGTGTCCCAGAGAAAGCCTCCTTCTGTGTGCAGTGAAGGTGTGTGTTCTAAACATGAGAAGAAAAACACGCCTTGTTCTTGGGTAGGATGACTCAATACCACAAACAGATCCAGTTGGTCCCACGTAAATATATCCCTTTAACATGATCGTCATGAAAATACTGAGGGTAGGTGTGTTTTTTATTGTTGTTTTCTGGAGTGAAGTTGATTCTGGAGTTGATATGAAATAATAAACAATCAAAAATCATCAGAAATTGATATTTTGAGCTGGATTAAAAAGAAAAAAAAAAAAAGAAGAAGAAAAGGAAAAAAAAATAGCCAGAATGTGTTTTTAGTTTTTTAAAGGGCAGTGGGGTGGAGGTAAGTCCTACCAGACATTAAAACATGCCATAAAGCTTCTGGAATTGGCAGGGCACAGTGGCTTATGCCTGTAATCCCAGCACTTTGAGAGGCTGTGATGGGAGGATTGCTTGAACCCAGGAGTTTCACACCAGCCTGAGCAACATAGCAAGACTCCACCTCTACAAAAATAAAAAATTAAAAGTTAGCTAAGTGTGGTGGTGTGCACCCATAATCTCAGCTATTCCAGAAGCTGAGGTGGAAGGCTTGCTTAAGCCCAGGAATCTGAGGCTGCAGTGAGCCATGATCACACCACTGCACTCCAGCCTGGGGGACGGAGTGAGACCCTGTCTCTAAATTTTTTTTTTTTAATATTTTAAAGCCTCTGTAATTAAAATGGTGTAGTTGGAAACAAATAGCCAGACAGACCAATGGAACATGATAGAGAGTCCAGCAATGTATCCAAGTACATATGGAGATTTGATGCATGGCCAAAGTGGCATCTCAGATCACTGGAATGTGATAAAATTTCTTTTTTTGTTTGTTTGTTTTTGTTTTTTGAGACAGATTTTCACTATTGCTGCCCCAGCTGGAGTGCAATGGCACAATCTCGGCTCACTGCAACCTCTGCCTCCTGGGCTCAAGCCATTCTTCTTCCTCAGCCTCCCTCCCATAGCTGGGATTACAGGCATGTGCCACCATGCCCGGGTAATTTTGTATTTTTAGTAGATATAGGATTTCTCCATTTTGGTCAGGTTGGTCTCGAACTCCGGACCTCAGGTGATCTGCCCGCCTTGGCCTCCCAAAGTGCTGGGATTACAGGGTGTGAGCTACTGCGCCCAGCCAATAAGACTTCTTAATAAGCAATGCTGGAACCATTTCATTCCATTTGGAAAAAAGATAAAAGTGGATTCATACCTCACACCAAACATCTGAATGAACAGCAGATGGTTCAGAGATCCAGATTTTAAAAAATGAAACCTTACAACTTTTTTTTTTTTTTTTTTTT